TGAATGGGAGACAGGAAGGGAAGGGAAGGCCAGAGGGAGGGAAATCTTGTGATTCTAAATCCTAATGATTTTATCAGACTTCCTATATCTCTTTCTGCAAAGCATCTGCCTAAGAAAGCATGCAGCTGTGCTTTACAGGTATGATCTGAGGAAGAAGTAAGATAGTGCTTATCTCCTTTTTTACAAAGGAGGAACTCAAGTGCAGAGAAATTCCGTCACAGTGCGTGCTTCTTACCTGCTGTTGATCCTAACATACCTATCTGTACTGCCTCCAAGAACAGAACACCTAATGCTAGCAGACCATAACCCAAATAACAAAGTATTTGAAGACTAAATTCAGTGGATACCTTATAATCAAAATAACATTTTAAAGAAATAATGGCAGTATCTGGTTTTACTGTAGACCGTAAATAATTTTATGGAGGGTTCTTGGCAATCAATCGACCTCATAGTGACAGCAGTGAAAAAACATTTTTACTGTTTAACCTAAAAAAATAACAATAGTTCCTCTTTTAGGATATTATGCAATTCCTCAAGCCACAAAGGAACATTATGTGTGTGTGTGTGTGTGTACTTTATATTATTTTTAAATTTCCTTCGCATGTGTTGGTACCCATAGGACAGAACTGCATGAGTCAAATTAACGACTGTCAGTGACTTGTACAAAAACTTTCATCACTTCAGGACCACTGATGATACAGTCGTCAAAAGCACTAATTAAAAGTCGCTTAGGTATAAAGCTCATAGACACCCATAAGACAAAACAAACAAGCAAAAAACAAAACAGAAACACCTTAGGCCATGTACCTGTGGCTACCTGAGAAGTAGTTCATGCCTTTTTAGAAATCATGGAAACAATCTTAAGATCACTAAGTCATCTGATGAAAACCAATAAACTCTACCAGACAAAACACCTACTGAGAGAGTCATGAATGCGCCGTGTCAAAGTGAACGAAGGCCAGAGTGCAGTCACAAGACAAAGCTCAGCGAATTATAAAGCAAGCTACGCCAATTTCCAGCCCCTAAATGTCTCCTCTCCAATTTTTTTTTAGAGGTTTTTACCTTAAGGCATGTGCGTTAGTTGAGAAAGAATGACAGACAGACAGAGACAGAGACAGTGAGAGGGAAACTGAGAAATCACACCCCTCCCCCCCAGGGGAGGTTGGCTATGCCACAGTCCCTTCTCTACCATTCTCCTCTTGGGATCTTGGGCATGCAGGCATATGCACCCTGCGTGGTTTTAAGTCACCGGGTCCAGGACTCGAACCACAGTCAGACATATGGGAGTCCAGTGACGAAACTGAAACTGCTACGCCATCTGCTGGCCCCTCTTCTTCAAATTTTTAAAGTTTATTTCTTCCATGAGCAAGAGAAACAGAGAGTCAGAGATGGCACCCTGAATAGCATCTCAAAGCCACAATCCACCCCCCAGCCTCAGCCAGCTCAGGTCATGAGCACATGCATGCATGCTATACTCAAGGAGATCTCTGGATGCCAACAGGGAACCTTCCCATATGGGTCAGCCTAGAAGAAGCACTGGGCCACCACCTGTCTCCCGTCAAGATTTTTTTTTTTTTTTTTTTTTAGAGATTTTACTATAGGGCATGTGCATTAGCCAGCCAGCCAGAGAGAGACAGAGACAGAAAGCGAGAAATTACTCTCCAGGGGGGATGGCCACACCACAATCCCTTCTCCTCTCGAGATTTTGGGGCACACACGCACACATGCCCGTCGTGAGTTTCAAGCCTCATGCCGCAGGTCTGAGACTCAAACTATTATCGACTATGTGGGAGTCCAGCAATGTAGCCATTATGCCATTGGCTGGTCCCTCCCTGCAAATTCTTACACCTATCATTTGTAAGCATCCTTTCAAACTCAAGAAAAACGATGGCATACAATGCCTTTGAAATTATTTGCTTTTTGTCAAACCAAAACCTTTACTCAAAGATGAAGGCGATGTCTGGTGGGTATTTGGGGAGTCAGCAGGATCGTAATCTTGAACGCCAAACGATAAGGGCGCCTGTCACATTGCTTTCTGGGTTTCATTAGTGAATGAGGAGATGAAAGAAACACAAAGAACTGTGGAAGCTGAGCCAAACTATAGGCTTCCCAAGTGAGCAGGAATAAAAAAAAAAGGAATGCTCTCTGGGAGTAAAATGTAGTCAACGAATGTGTTCAAAGAACCATTTAGAAATGGCTTCTTCTCAAGACCTAAAAGATGGCCACATTTCATTCTGGAACTGTTTTCCTTCCAGTAGAAGAGCATTTGCTTTCCCGTAAATATTCAATACTGTATATATCCATATTTAATTGGTTTCAGAGGGCAAAAACCTGAGATTCCTATCCTGATTTGGTGAAGCTATCTTCATTAAAGTATGCTATTTTTAATCTATAGACATTTAGTGAGCATAATAACTGTGTTAGAAGGTTTAACTCAAAGAAAGTTTCATCTGAAATGCTTTTTTTGGGAAAAGGCAATGACCATGAGATGAAGTTGGTTATTTATACATAAGTTCCTTCATCATCATCTCTTGCATTTTGGTACCCATTGTGTCTAGCATAGAGATGAAGCATTCAGGGCCAGCCCATGGGATAGTGGGTAAGGTAGGGGATCCCACATGGAAGTCTGCGTGGTTTAATTCGCAGACCCAGTGTCTTGAGAAACAGGTAGGTGCGTGTGCATGTGTGCCCAGAACTCCATCTCTGTTTAGTGAGCTCATGTGCCCTCTGATAAAAATAAAAAGAGAAAACAGAAAGAGACAAAGAGAGAAAGGAAGAGGTAGGGAGGGAGGAGAACGTTTGTTAAATTAAACAATGTCTTTCTTCCTTATGCGTGGTTTCTCTTCGATTTGCTATCTTAAGTCTTTCTTGGTAATAAAAGGGGGGACCTCAAAAAGTTTGCAGGAAAGTGAAACAGAGGATGACTTTATTTTAGTGCACAAAATAGAAAAACTTCATAGGTTTTTCACAATACACACTATTCATGAACTTTTTGAAGACTGCCTCATATAAGTTTTCTTTCTCTCCATTTCATATCTGATTACCTTCTTCTGCATTTAATATCTCATTTTCCAGTGGAGCAATAGGAGAATCCAAAACAACAATGAAAGTTATGATAATTAAGTTACTCAAAGTGCCTTTTTGGTTATAGAAAGTAGACGCATTCTTCAATGGAAAGCAAGTGGTTCATAACCGAACCTAAGTGGACAATTCACTAAGGGTAGGTGTGGAGTACCTAAGAAGAAATGAACGGCCAATCTAAATCTATATGATGGTCAGAATTAGAAGTCGACTTTTACAGCTAGAGGGGACATGGACATCGGGTCACCTGATCTGGTCTCCTCCAACCCAAAGCAGTCTTTGCCCAGCATCCCTTCCCTTAAACTCCTGAATCACTCCTCCTTGGACTAGCTGTTCACAAGATGGCAAATAAGCAACAAAGGCAAAGGATGGCTTCTGAAATAAGTAATTCAAGTTTTTAACAGTGAAGCTTCTGCCATGAATGAAAGAGAGAGTATCATAATTACTGGACTAGTTAAATACTCCTGTCTGTCCAGTATCAGCACATAATGCAGATAAGGCCAAGTGGAGTGCCTCTTAGAAGACTTCATCCTTACTCGTGAAAAGTAGAGCGTTCCAAGGGAAATATGGATCTCGGCTTATAATTCAAGAAACTTAAAGTTTTTAAACATTTTAAAGATCTCACTTTTAAACTTCTCACTTTATCCTTGCTTATTTAACAAAATCGGTAATACCAAGCAACAGCAAAGTTGTGAAGCACTGGAACTCCTCTGCCAGTGGGAATGTGCATTGGTACCACCACTTCAGAAAACTGTTTGAGAGTCTACCAAAACCGAACTGATGCTTTCCCTGTGATCCAGGAATATGATCCTGGGAGTATAGTCCTAAGAGAAAGGGGTGCTTACGTAGTAAAACAATGTTTATAGCGGAACTATTCATAACTACACAATATCAGAAATGACTTAAATATTCTTATTGTTCTTCAGTGATAGAATGAATAAATTATAACATGCATTCATACCAAGAAACAGCCCCCAACAATTATTAAAAAAAAAAAAAAAAGAGCCACTGATTCAGAGAACAAGGTTACATTTCATAATCACAATGCTGAATAAAAGCAGCTGGAAATACAAGAGCACATAATGACAGCTCGGTCATGAAGTTCAAACACAGGCAATAGTAACCCGGTCTTTGAAGCCAGAATAGTGGCTACCCTAGGGAAGGCTGACATTAACTGAGAGAGGGCAGAGGAAGAATTGCTTATATCTAACCACTGTCCATATCGCACAGAGTTTACGTGTTATGTACATGCGTGATAATGAAGTCTACCCTTAAGACAGTGCATAGTTACTACATGCTGATTATACTCCATTTAGGAAAATTTACAGAAGGAAACTTCTGAGATTTTTCCTTAATATAAACAATTCAATGCGCCTTAAATCCAGTTGCAGATGCTGATCTTTGTACCTTTAGAAAGCCTTTTAGGTTACCGAAAAAAATGCCCTTACTACTTAGTATCACTCATTAATTTTTTGTAGTGATAAAAATCTTAAAAAATATATTGTACTATACATTTGAAATGTACATATTTACCAATCAGTAAAGATAAATGTTTAAAAACTGTAAAATGCTTTTCTACCTTCTCTCATTTTACATTTCTTACTTTTTTATAATTCCGAATAATTTATGACAACTACTGGAAGTAATTCCTGCACATCTCTACTGCAGATCTTTTCTCTATTTACTACAGAGACTTCAAGTTCGAATCCTAGAATTTTGGAGCTGGAAAGAACACGGCCGGACTTCCTCGCCGAACAGGTAAGGCTGCTGAGGCCGCGGAGTGCCTGTCCCAAGGTTGTGGACCTAGGACAGGAAACCAAGCTCCGAGCGCCTAGAACTACCTTCGACCAAAATGTTTAACCCTTGCATCGTTCCAAACAGAAAGCTGACACAAACTGGATCCGATGGGGATATTTTTTTATTTTTTCCTCACTAACAACTAATCTACCAGTAGATTATTTGGGGACAGTCTTCGGAATCCTTGAAAACACCACTGGGGCTTAACGTTAGAATAAAAATAGGATGTAGCAGGAGAGGGCGGCTAGTATTTCAATGTGTAAATCCTGTCTGCATAATATTTCCAAAATAATTATTTGTTGATCCAAAACACATTCAGCGGGGACGGGGGTCGTTCCCGGGCATGACTCGGTTTGGGGGATAAAGCGGGCGCGTTTTCGTATCAGAGTTCCTTCCATAAATCAAAACCTCAAGAGAACAGTTGAAGGCACCAAAGAGGAGTCTGTGACAGTGACCAGGGGTCAGTCCAGACGCGGGTGTCGGTGTAGTCCCGGGCCACCTGGTGCCAAGCTCGCGGCCGCGGGCTCACACCGATGACCCATCCCCGAGCGCGCGGCCCCCGACACGGCGCAGGTCCTCGGCGAGGCCGCCCGCGGAGTCTGGGCCGCCGCCGGGACCGCGGTCCGGGCCGGAGAGACGTTAGAGAAGAGGAAGGAGGACGGAGGAGGGAGGGTGGGAAAAGCCGGGGCCGCCGGCAAGTTTAGGTGAGTCCGGAGGGCGCGAAAGAGGGGAGGGGCGCGGGAGGCGATGCAAGGAGCGGGGGCGGGGAGGAGCGAGGCGGCGGGGCAGGAGCA